AATGGAAATCCAGTTAATCCATTTCAAACCCCCAAAACTTTCATCATACCTGGTGTTTTTCAGAGAAGGTCCAAGTATAGTGCAAATGATAGCTTCTGACACTGAATCGCCTTTTAACTGCTTCTCATCAATCCACACTTCTCAACATCTTCTAGGAGTTTTGGACGGTGCTTTGAAATAATGGTAACTCTTTTGGCCACATCAAGTTACTTAATTTCTTTCTTCTTCCTCAGAATAGTGCAGTTTATTGATGTCAAACAGCCGTAAGTCTTTGCCAGTTCCATCACACTTACACTATACTTATGTGTATCTATGATTTCTTTCTTAATTTCAATGGGCATGGCTTCCTTTTTTTTCTTCGAGCTTGACAGCATTATCTGAGGCAACAGTCTTCTTGGAAGGGCATCTTGAAATAATTATTTTCACATTAAATGTAAAAAGCAATTAACTCAAGCGCACAACACACATAGGTCAAAGAACACTGAGTGATCTGGGGAGGGTATTCTCCAAATTGAGCCCGATTGGCAAATGCGCCATGCATACCACAGCCTAGCTTGTTTCTCATTACTCAAGTCAGTGCTCATATTTAGAGATGAATTTTTCACTCATCTTTCCTTGCATCTCGAATTTTTTGTATTTAGAGGTGCTCGTATCTCAAGGTTCCACTGTACAAATTTTTGTAAGAAAATAACTTCCCTACAAAATTTGCTCATTTGTGATCATGTCTTGTTTATTGCTCTTGTTCTGGTTCAAAATTTCATCTCTGTAAGAAATTAAATCTTCCACTTAAGTTAAGCTGTGAATTTTATAGAATGCACCTTTAATAATGTGAGCCTTCAATGAAATGCATGTCTACTGTGCTGAATCCTTAATTTACAGATTACACATTATTATATGATTGACTGATAATTTCCCTCCCTTGTTATAGTGTTAATTTAGAATCATATTTTGTGGGCATATTGAGCTGTTTATTAAAAAAATGAAGAAAATTAATTCACATCAATTGCCTTGCAAATTTTTACTCATTAAGGTATGAAACTTAATACACGCAGCAAAAATAATTGGATTGTACTGAAACTTTGCATGAAATTACCTTTTGTCGTAACACTTACAAAATTAAAGTTTAGAGCTCAGTGAATGGGTAGCTAGACCTACAGCACATTAGCAACCTGAAAATACATTTAATCAGTGAAACTTAATTTCAAGAGAGAATTTTTTTTATTAGATTTTGATGTGGCTACTTATTGTGACCTCATATAATGCTTCTCTGTTAGATTTGTGCTTATCAAAATAATTTTCACCACTTCCCTTACACATTTTTTTGAAAAATATTGCAAAACATCATCACATTTTTTTATTTTATTATTATATACAAGGAAATGAAACAGAACAATATATGTTGGTTTTAAGTTGAATTTTTAATTTTTTAGAGGTGTAAAAGCATTTAGTTTTAATATTAGTTTACTATCCCGATTTATCTCGGGCAAATGGAAAAAAGTTAAATATTAGTCTTTGTATGATAGTTTTTGAAACGAGGGACAGCACAAAGTGATACCTGACATTCTGTACACTGGTATCTGGTCTCTTTTCTTACTGGCTTACCTCTGGAATCTCTTTTACGGGAGCAGAGAGTACACTGTCTTGTTGGACTTGATTTTTTTCAGTTGCAGGAATAACATTTGGAAAATGCCTTGAGGTTAACCTGAGTGGTAAAGCACTAATGCTGGGTCTTCCTGATGTTGCAGAAAAATCATCACGATGATTTTCTGAAATTATTTTTTCAATCAGTTCCATTCAAAATTGTTTAGGTGATCGTGAACCTCCTGCTTTACAGTACAAGATATAAGAATTCCACTAGGCCAAATTCAATAAATGAAAGAAAATCTTCTTATAATATTTTCTCCCTCTTTTTCTGGATGTAGAATAAGCAGCTAAATGTTGGTCGACTTCATCTACAACATCCATTTTGTCATTGTAGTCAACTACACATTTAGGCCTGGACTTTGTTACTCCCCGTTTATTTGTCACATCCTACATTTTGATTGTATGTATTGTGGAAATTAGACTACCATCCTTCTTATCTTTCCATTTCATTACAGTTACTTTCCCTCTTTGATACACAATAATTTCTCCTTTTTTCAATTTTTTTGTCTTTAGTTCTTGAGGTAAATCTTTTCTATTCAATCGGAGTTTTCCACACACATCAGTCTTCCTTTTGACTAACGTATCAGCCAAACCTGTCAAGTTATAAAAATTGTCTGTCGTAAGACAATATCCTTTGTCCAGCAGTTGTTTTGTAAGAGTCATCACAACTCGGCTGACATAGAAAGCTCATCGAATGAATTATCGAAATTAGTTCCCTTCTCACTATATATAATGGCATTCCACCCGTACCCATTCTTAGATTCGCATAGTAAGAAACTCTTTATTCCAAATCGCGCTATCTTCAAAGGGGTGTACTGCACCCACCTGAGTCTTCCTTTATAAAGAAGTAAACTTTTATCTATTGTTATATCTTTTTCAGGTATAATCGCACTCTGAAACTTCTCAAGTAAATATTGCAGAATTGGCCATATCTTATTTAGTTTTGGACAAGGATGTGTACTTGCATCATATGCATCATTGTTGCTGAAGTGGAAGTTTTGCTTTATCTGACAAAATCGTCTGTATGACATTGTTTTTGCAAAAAATGGCGTATTCAACAACTGATTTTTACTCCAATAATCTTGCAGATCTGTTTTATATATATATATATATAATACCTTGGAGAATAGTTATTCCCCAAAAAACTCTTATTTCATTTTGAGAAGTAAAACAACATGGTTTTGAATGCAATCTATGAGCACGCTCTTCTGCATATCGATTTTTTTTCAGTTGTAATAATGCTGATCAATTCATTATCAAAATATTTATAGAAAAATTCCAAAACATTATGGATATCAATATTGAAATTCATACCTGTGTTGGCAGTAAAAGCAAAATGAGCAGGTGCAGGTGGCAACTTCGTTTTTTTAATTGTACACCATTGATGAGCTCTCGGCAAATCGTCCAAATCCGAATCACTTGAACTGTCGTCTTCAATAAGGCTACATACAGAAGAATCACTCCCACTGTTTTCAGTGTCCACCTCTTAATAATCACTATCTGAAAAATCATTGCTTTTGCTATCTTGCATCATCGCCATTATTTTACTTTTTTTTCAATGCAACTATACTTCTTTGTACATTACTAACTCACAAGCTGCCATATACGATAGGGAAACACATGACCAATCCCACCAAAAGAACCGCAAAACCAACGAAACTTGGCAAACTGCCAGTTAAAGCTGAATATTTCCTTTCATTTATTTCTTCCAGGCCGAGAAAAATCATGATAAAACAAATCTTACTGAAAAATTCTGCTTCACCCGAGTGTTCTCGATAATAATTAGCTGCAATATATACGAACCCGAGATAACTCAGGGTAATCAGCCAAGCAGATTATGTCATTGGAATGAAAGATGCTGCATGGGCAAAATGTAGAATCATTCGACATTTGGATCTGAGCAGCATAGGAATTAGACAGTGCTGGCATGATTGAGTGAGCAACTGTAGATCTCGATTCATCAAAACGGCAGCAGTTGATCCAGGGACATACAGAATGAGAAAGTAGTGTGATTATCAGACTGCAAATTATGTTAATCGGTGTCAGTGGGTAACATCCTCAGAAGTGAATGTTAGAATCATAGATAGGTAACTCAGTGAGTGGAATCTGCAGTTGTGCCACTATTACATTGCTTACTTTTCACCAGTCAAGTACGACTGCAATAATGCTGGGAACCAGTGCAGGATTTACGTATAAGCTACACAAGCTATAGCTTAGGGCCCTCACTTTCTTGGGGGGCCCCCAAAATTTAAAATATATAAAGGGCCCCATATCTCAAATAGCTTAGGGCCTTATCAAGTCTAAATCCCTGAGCACAACTGATTAGGAATTGCATCGCCTGGATCAGTCAGTGACCAGTCAGGTGTGTTTGAAGATATCCAAAATAGTGCTGGGATCCTAACTTTAATATCATGTACCATATAGGCCAATGATATCCAGTTACAGACTTTTCTTTTGATATTGATATCTCTTTTATAGTCATATTTAGCTTCTGCACAACAAAGAGATACATTGATGAAATTCTGTGGCTTATTATTTTGACATTTCCTTTTTGTTACTTTAGGCTCAATTTTTAACAAGATAATACTGACAATATGCTTGCCATACATTTCTTTGACCATCAGTTATCTCTCTGCAATACATGGGCACTGACTGAAAGATGCCTCAGGCTATCCGACATTATCTGCAGATTACTCTATAATTTGGTAAGGAGCTAGCTTTAGCTTCAAAGGATATCATCTGCTGGGTTTATGATGATATGATATGTTGGATAACACTTGTCATTCAGGCCAGAGCTGACTTACTTACTTTTTGTAGCTATTTATTTTGAATGGCCATGCTGTTTTTCTGTAATCACAGTTATTTCTTTTTCTGCATATGTACATAAAAAAATTACCAATTGTTTTATTGTAATTGACTATGTTTTTTGATTAGCAATAAGTATGTTTTCCCCCTTTGTGTTTTCAAATGTAGTGATCTGATTCCATTACCATTTGTGATGTATTTCCTTGCATGTAATGTAAATGTAAGAAGTTTCTCTCTCAAAAATGCCATAAGACATAACTTTTGAAGATTTCCTTGTGACTAAAAATAATCAACCACATTTAATCGTCAATGTTGTGTAATAAATAACTTTTTTAAAATGCTTTTCTGCATTGTGCAAAATTTAAAAATATTTCTTAGTTATTTCTCAAATCCTAGGCATTTCAAATAAAAGTTATCCAGTGATATTTTTAAAACATGATAAAGTGTAATTTTATTCAAAGTAAATGGCAGTTTATGATAATTTCTTGAGTTTTATCTTACATTTCGGAATAACATGTACATTTTTCTAAAGTTATTTAATTTTATTTTAGATGGAGAAAAGGAAAATAATCACAGATAAAATTCAAGAAAATCTGTTTCAGCTCAAACCACGCACAGAACGTTTACATCTAGAGCGAAGCCAGTAAAATAATTTTTTACTTCTTTCCAAAAATCTGAATATGAAGGTTATATACACATATATATAAACATCGATAGGCAATGCTATGTATGAAAACGACTAAAAGTTTTTTTTATAAGCTCAAATGTCTTCTGTATTTTAAATAGTTAGCTTTTTCAAAACTACTTTTTCTTCATGAAAAATAACATGTAACTAGTTTTTAACTGAAATCATATGCCTTTGTTTTTATTTGTGAATAATATATTATTATTATATATATAATCTACATAAGGAGGCCCCTATACATAATACCTGTACACAAGATAGTTTATTTCATTCTTTTCAAAGTGGTTTTGTTGCATTTAAGAGTTTGTGAGGCTAAAAATATTTAAATTATTCTTCACGAAATCTTTGTTTTGAATGTAATCTGCAGTGCTGTGATTGCTGTGCTAGTTGCTTTAAACTGTATGTAGTGTATCCTATGCTAGATTACTATAAAAGGCAGAAATGATGCCAGTTTAGTTTCAGAAATTGAGGTAAAACAGTAGTTAAAACTGTTATGAAGGCTTAGTGTTGCAAATGCTGCAAAAGAAAGATTTAGTGCCAGATTTCTATGTAAATGAAATATAATTAATATGATGAAATATGTTTTGCTCACATTTTGCACTAAACTAGGGAATTTATTTCATTTGCTTTTGTTCAAATTTGATACCAAAATGAGGATTAGCTGCTATACGTTTCTTTGATCTGTGTACAGCAGCTAAACAGTGCTGCAGGGGCATAGAAAAGTACCAGTGTAAACATACTTTATATATAATCAAATTTAAAAGAAGATAAGAAAATATAAACTAAAATGTAATTCATAAAACTTGTAATGGTTTTATTCAAGATATTAATATGAAAATAAAATTCTTGTATCTCTCTATTAAAATTAATGCATTTTAAATAAATAATAAAAATGTCTGTATATATATGTGTGTGAAAATTCTGAAATTCTTTTCGAAGCTAATAGTTTTTCCTCAACTTTAAATAAGTACAAAAGGAATGTAATAAAACTATATTTTATAGTAAAAAATTTTAACTTTGGTTATTTGCATCTGAATAGTCTTTGATGACTTTATAATACATAATTCCAAATTCAGTATTTATTTGAGGTTTGGTTTTATTTTTGAATTTTCTTTGCAAAAGGTGTGCTAAATTTTTATTTGTAATTATTAGCTACAAAATTAATAATAAGTAATGAACTAATAATGGTTCATACAGAACTATTAATTGCTAAAACAAGCAACTTAGTTTTGTATTTTTCTCCATTATTTAGATTCATTAGTAATAGGCCTTTATAAGGTCATCTAAAACATTTAATTTGCCCTTGATTATGTCCATGAATTTTGAACTTAAAGTTTAGGAATGGAATCATATTTAGCATAACACAGTATAATGAAAATTGTATGAATTAAATATTTAGGATCAGTATTTAAAAAGATATTCCTTATATTTCTTTTGGATATCCTATATGTTAGTGCAGATTATTTTAAGTCTTGAAATTTGCTGCTTCAGTAGCTAGAGTTTTAAAAAATACACTGCTTCAAATACTTTCTTTTTCAGTCTGTTGCTACAAACTGTATGTGTTTGAAAATATGCTGCTCAAAATAGCCAAAAGTAGATATTGCAATCACATCACTGAATTTATAAAATAAAATGCAAATGAAAATTGATAAAGTTCAGAAATTTCAAGGTTTTGAGTAATGAAATTTTATTTCTCGTTATGTAAAGAAAATTCATCCAGTTTTGAAATGTGTAAACTGTTATCTGAAGTCTAAATGAAAGTTTAGAATTTGAACAATTAGATCAAAATCCCTCTCTCATGTGATTGATTCATATATAGTTAGTATTGAATAGTTTGAATCCACTGTAATTTATTGTGTACAAAATTGTCACTGCTCATTCTGAATTCAGAAGCATTAACATTTCTAAGCAATTTGAATAATTTATGTGGTAAATTGATACTTCTTTTGTAATATTCTTCTAGTTCATTGAGTAAAAAATGTGGGCTTCCATATGTGATTGTTCATTAAAATAACTTCATAATTTTCATATTTTTTCTCTTATTTCATGGTGCAAAATTTGTTTTCAATAACACATTATTTTAAGTAATGAACAAATTTCATTCCCCCCTTTCTTTTACGTTTGTGCATTAACATAGGACACTTGAGTTAATGACTTTTTATTTCATTGTGTTCTTATTCATCTCAGATTTGGTTTTATTAGTCTTACACTGTTTTAATCATGTATATAAAAGTTAAATTTTTATTTTTTACAATGTTAAATTTTGTTGTTTCAAATAAATTTAAGTTTGTTTTAATGTTTCTATCTAATTTTCAATTCTCCTATTTTATTATTTCTAATTAAAATTTAATTTTAATAATCTTTTGTTTCAATTTCATATTTGCTTTGATTTAATGTATAAATTGCTCATATGCCTGTTTCAGGTCTAAATTACTTCCAGAAAATTTTTTGCATGGTTTAAAAATTCAAATTTATAATAATCAAAATTTCCTTTAAATATATGGAGGACTTTTATATTGTATTTCAAAAGCTGTGACTGTCAATATTTCAAAGTGTGGAAAAAGTACTTTTATTCATTTCAAGACATTTGTACCTTGTATAAAAATTTTAAAAATAAAAATTTTTCTTTTGGAAATTAAAAATGGAGATTTATTAGTATAGTCATTCTGCATAAGGTGTCTGTTTTTTATAATTTGAAATAAATAGAATCATGATATTTCATAACCTGAAGAGGGGGGAAAACGCCATTTCTATTAGTTTATCTTATAAGAATTTTTTAGCATTTCCAGGCAAGCAGTTGAAAATCAAATAACTATATCATGCCTGACAAACATCAAATAACTATCTAAGCCTGATAAACATATAAAATTCACCTTTAAAATTAAGAACAATATGATAAATATTTAAACCAAATAAATAAAATTTTGTGGGGGAAGCTAAATGCTGTATTATTTAAATAGCTAACATTCAAAAGATGTATGTATCTGCATTTCTAATGTGCAACACATTCTGGATGTATTCTCGTGTAAATTGTAACTCAGGGAAGAAAGCAACTTTTAGAAAGCCTCTGTATGACAGAGGAGAGGCAGTTTCTTCCCTGCAGTTATTTGAGGCAGTGATTACCTCTTGATATTCAGAGCATTCAGGTATTTACCATTGAGTAATAGAGATTTAACTTAGTTTGAAGGGTTAAAAATATATATATAAATATTTCAGAGTATTAATGATGAAAAGTACTACTTTTTAAAATTATATTTTGTTCTAAATGGAACAAAATGCTATTATTGTTTATATACTCAGAAAACTGAATAAGATGTTTTCACAAATTTTTATTAACATTGCATGACATTTTAAAATAGTCTGATTTTATTTGGCTAACAATTAACAAAAATTAAAATCAAGGTTTTTTATATTAATATTAAACCATGTGTAATTTCTTCTCTGTTTGTGGAAGCTGATTTTATATGTTCTAAAATAAGACATCTTGCTGTCTTTATAAGAGAAATCATGTCCACAAAATAATAAATGCTTCTTTTGAAATTTATTTCAAATCAAGTAGCTTTTTAAATAATTTAATAATTAATTTTTTAATAATTTAATAGTTCTACTTAACAGCTCTAATTTTCATATAACAGAGTTTTTAATATAATAATAATAGGAAGGAAAATTAATGAGGACAAGGATTTATTAATATTTTTAAGACTTGCTACAAAATTATCATAAAGTATAATTTTAGCTGTTTTTTACTGCAAAGCACTTGAGTGTTATCTGTCTAAGTAGAATGATACCTTAGGGAAGGATTTTCTGAGGAAACTGAGTTGTATTTGTATTACGTATGTTGCTTAACAAGTAAATCATAGGTTCGAAAATCTGAGCCGACACTTTTTAAAAACACCAACATTTATTTTCACCCCATTTCTAATTCTACAAAATCTTAAATGCAACTAACTATCAAACAGAAAAGCAGACGTAGACGTAATGATGCATCTGGGCACGTGATCCTCGTGACAGACGAATTCTTTAGGGTTGCCACAGAAAGGCAGTGTGTCGCCACAATTCTCCCACCTTTTGAGTGGATGGCTATACACTCAAAACATAAAACTTACATCAATATAAATGATGGTTATATAACAAAGAAAATTACTTAATACTTAAATCATATTACTTGAAAACAAAATTAATACTGATAAATAATACAACAATAATAGCACAACAAAATAAATCGTAATAACTAAAGACATGAATTAACATTATTTGTGATTTTGCAACTCTACCACTACTGGTTGTGAAAGGAACTTGATCATTTTGAGTATTATCTATTATATTATCCAGTTACAATCTAAACAATCTCTGTATTGGTCTCAAGAACTCTGAATTACTACTTTTTACAAGAGCAACTCTTATGTTGCCATCTCGACCAGGGATCACTCGAATAACGCGTGCTAAATTCCAATATGCACGGTTTTTATTTTGATCCTCCAGCAAGACAATTTCTCCTAGAGAGAGAGGTTTATTTTTGTAATTTCTGGTAGACTGCTGTCTTAACTGCCCTAGATACTCAGAGCGAAATCTCACTCTTAACAATTCTCTCATTCTCTGGAGATACTTCGCTCTTCTACTCAATTTTTCTTTGTCTACATTGTCAATATCAGGTACACACGACTGTGGAGTTTCATGCAGAAATTTTTTCCGGAGTTAAAGGCAAGGGATCTTCAATATCGTCAGACACGTATGTAAGTGGTCTTGAGTTGACAATTCTTTCACAATCACACAAGACGGTGAGTAACTCTTCATAACCAAGAGAAGCACGGCCTAAAATTTTTCTTAATATTTGTTTTACAATTTGTATTAAATGCTTCCACCATCCACCCCCCCCAAGCGGCGGATGGAGGATTAAATTTCCATTGTATTCTCTTTTCAGCAGCCCTAGAGCAGAAACAGTCCTGGTCAATGGTTTGCAGAACTCTCTCTGCCCCTACAAAATTTGTTCCATTATCGGAATATATGGTGGTAGGGCGTCCACGACGTGCGATAAAACGCCTTAAAGCTTTGAAAAAATGAGTTCAGTTGTTAATGAGGTAACCAGTTCCATATGGATAGCACGATAAACCGCACAGGTGAAGAGCACAATATACGATTTTCGTCCATCCTTTAAATGCAAAGGGTCCGGCAAGATCACACCTACGATTTCAAAAATGGCTGAATCACGAACCCTCATTTGGTAAAACGCCTGGGACTGTCTCACCTCTTTTAGCCTTAAATCTCTGACATGTTACACATTTTCTTGTACAGTTTCTTATAGTTTTACATGATTTTAAGATCCAGTATCTTTCTCTTAAATGCGACATCAATAATGTAGTACCTGCATGCAACAAATCTTTGTGTGCACTTAATATCAATAATCTACAAATAGTCTGAGTCATCTTAGCTTATCATCTGTTTCACCATTAAACGACTCTTTTTGTATTAATAGCATTAAAGCTATTTCTCCCCTTTCTATTTCAGATACAGTCAAATACTTAGAATGGTTGTTATTATTATTCTTACGTACATTAATATAAAATCTGAATATCCATGATAACATTCTTACAATTTTCTTAAATGATGAGAAATACTTATAGTACCATCCAATACAATTATCATCCTTTACCAATGTAACAATAACTGTCTTACGTATTTCTGAATTAACTAAATCCTCATCTGGTTCATCATTAGATTTAGGCCAATTTGCCTCATCTTTCCGTAACCAATCAGGTCCCTCCCACCATTTTCATTCGATTAATTGATCTGCATAACAACCTCTAGAAAGTAGGTCAGCAGGATTGAGAGTACCAGGGACATGTCGCCATACAGTGGGGGAGGTCAAAGACCTGATTTCCTGTACACGATTAAAAACGAATGCTCCCAACGTTGATTTCGCGTATCCAACTTAAAGCCGTCGAGGAGTCAGTCCAACAATGAATACGAACTTCATGTAGGCCAATATCATTAATAACTGAAGACAATAACCTAGAACCAATATTACAAGCAAGAAGTTCTAATCGAGGAATCGTAATAGGTTTTAAAGGCGCTACTCTCGATCTTGCGTGTACCAAACTAACCTTCACCTTTTTGCCACTCTGTACCCTTAAAAAGACGCATATGCACCATACGCACTTTTACTACTGTCACAAAAGAGATGTATACTCACAGCTTCATTAATAGATTTGAAGACCTACCCATCTAGGTATTTGGATACTGGATAGCAAGTACAACTTTTTAAGCCAAAACCTAAACTTTTTTGGTTAATTCATCAGGAAGAACATCGTCCCCATTTAAGCCTTAAATTCCAAGTTTCCTGTAAAATTAGTTTTGGAATCAACATTACAGGGAGCCGTATGCCCTATAACGTCAAACACCTGATGTGAGCTACTGCTAAAACTAGTCTTTTAGTAACTGGGTCATCCAATTTTATATCTTGACTTATTTTGCAAGATAAGGTATCTGTAACTGTATGCCATACAAGGCCCAAAACAGACACATCTCCTTCCGTGGAGGAATCTTCCTCTGGCACAACACTACTTATATTGGATTTTCAGAATCTTAAATTAAAATGACCCAAAGCCATAATTATTTGTGATTCATTTACAAACTTTCTCATTTCTATTTCTGAATCCATACTAGCCACACAGTTATCTGTGTAAAAGGATGTTTTCAAAATCTCCGCTGTATGACTTAAGCTTTCGGGAACTACACTCAAATGATATTGTATTGTAGCGGCCAATAAATACGGACTACACATAATACCAAAAACTACCCTTCCATGACGATACAGTTCAACTTGTTCTTGATTATCCCTACTGAACCACATAAATCTCAAAAAGTCTCGATCTTTTTCCTTTATAGATATTTGCAAGAACGCTTTTTTCTATATCTGAAGTGACACCAACGTAATTCTTGCGAAACCGATTAAGAATCGAAGGTATAATTTCAATTAAATTTGGTCCAGTAGATAAACAATCGTTCAATGATGGGTAACCAGGCGAATGAGAACTTGCATTAAACACTGGTCTTATACTCGTGCTACTATTTTCTTTAACAACTGCTCTATGAGGTAAATAATGTACACCCTATATTTATTCTATTTCCGGTTATTCTTTTTCAATTATTCCCGAGTGCTTTTCATTATCCCGAGAACTAAACAGTTCTCGAAAACGTCTCCGTAAGCGTCAAAATTTCCCGTAGTCATTAATTTTCTTTTAGTACTTACAAGACATTTTTCTGCTATCACTTTGTTTTCGGGTAAAAGCGAGCTACCCGACACCCAAGGTAATGCTACTTCGTACCTTCCCTCTGAATTTACCGTAAGAGTCTCTTCAAAATATTTTTGAGTATCCTCCTGTAACTGAGTTTTGGTTTTACTTACGGAAGGCTCACTAATACCCAAAACATCTAACTTCCAGAGATCACTAATACATTGACCCTTCACTAACAGAGAAGAAATTAGGAGGGATGCAGTATTTATCGTAGTTGGCTCAGTGCCAGTAAATTTACCCATAACAGTCCAGCCTAACTGCGTATGCACCGCGCTGAACGCCGCACGTAAGGGGAACAATTTTTCCAGTTAGCAACTTACCAGCAAAATCCGCACCAATTAGTAATT